ATAAGGTTACATTAGGTAAAATAAAGAATAAGAATGATAAAACTTGTTCATGAGGTATGCTGGAGAGCAGTTTCTGAGTAACCCTTGTGCTATGTGATTCAACAAGGTAATCTGAGCTAGATGTTTGCCAAATGACTTACAACTTGTATGGCAGGATGATTACTTAGACATGGTTAGAATGGCAATAAAGCAATAAAATTTAAGTAGAAACATATGTATACTGTTACCAGTTTTAACCTATTTAGGATAAACAAATGTAGTTTTCTGTTACAGTGTGAGGTCATTCTAGGAAGAAGAAAAGGGGAAGTTAGATTTATTTTGTACTTTTTTATGGTGGTCACAAGGTTGTTCAAATTAGTCTACCTCATATAGTGTTAGGTTAGAGAAAATAACAGATAAAATATAAAGTTTTACTGATAGAAAAACGTTTGAAATTTATTTAGGAAGTTTTAGAGATTACACAAATGAAATTTAACAATTTTCAGATGAAGAAAAGTATTTTTAATCTAACATGAAAATCACTTTGCACTCAAAGCAATCAACACTTTGATTTCATGTACTCATGGAGAAATTTTTAATGTAAATACCTCATTAAAAATTCAGATTTTATTTGTCTACAAAATACTCTTAATGCCTACTGAAAGCTTGCAAAGTTTTGCGAAGATATATATAAAACATACTAGAAGTTATAATATGGATAATATAAAGATCAGGTTGAGGCCACAAACTCAGTCGATTTGACTGAGCATGTAGTGGAAATGTTAATGCAGGAGTGCACATTTTATAACATTTTGATGAAATAATATAATATATTGATAATTTGATAATATAAATAAAATGAAAAGATTTAAATCATCTCTCCATGTTTTAACTGGACCACCTAGACTGGGGTTTCTTTTTATGTTAAAGTGTGTATTTCATTCAGAATGTAATTAGAAACAGCCTTATAATCAATGTATTTCAGTAAACTTGGCACTTAAATGTAGTTTATAATTCAAATTTTTATATTATCTAAGTTTTAAATTCTTAATTTCTAAAGGAAATAATTAAGAAAACTCTCAATCATCATTTCTTTGTGTGAAGTGATGCATCTAGCTCGTAATTCTCCATTTTAGGTTTTATATCTTTCCTAATATGGCTTTCAGAGTTTTCAAGAAATTAGAAACATAAACTGTACATAGTTACAAGTAAAAATGTAGAATTTGAACCTCCAACCTTCTGATATGCCAAGATATCAATAAATTTGTCAAACCTACCAGAGAAGCCTTTCCACTCCATGTCTTTGCTAATAGCCATTACAAGGCTGATAGACATGTTTATAAGCAATAGAAAGAGCCTTCTATCATCTATATGAGGATTATTACACTTATTTGATTTTCTGGGACACTGGATAGTCTGCTGTAGTTTCTTCATATGTGAATTTTGTAATCCTATCTGTATGTCTAAAGGAATAATACTAACCTGTTTACTGCTTATGTATAGAGCCATATAAATTAAAGTATTTTAAGGACATTCTTTTGTAGCGTATGATGTATTTTTTGTTTTCTAAAAGGCTGGTTTGAAAACTACATGAATTATTTTCTGGACAACCAACATAGTGAGAAATAAGGAGGGTTACTGAACTACAGCATATGAGTACAAATGGGCTGTCCTTTGATTTATTGCTTTTCATGGACATAGTGGGTACAAAGACCAGTCAATATAACAATAAAATGCATAGAAAACATGTATGAAAATATTAACAACTGAAATTGTAAAGACAATTAATCTGAAGATCTGGCAACAAAATGATGCTTTGAAAAAAGAAGAAAAATGGTATTATCCATTGTACTTCATATATTTCAACCTTTCATTTAACTGTACATAGATGATTTTGCTACAGTTATGTTAGGGTTGAGAAAATAACAATTATAAAGTGAACCAAAAAACTTTTGATATTCATTTAGGAGGTTCTAGAGGTTATACAAATATGAAAAACTTAAAATTAAAATGTCAGGGTTTTATGTGTATGTAGACTGAGGATTCTTCTACAATAGATGTCTGTGACTTGTTGGCGATAAATTTGAACAATAACTGGACAGCACATAATCCATTTGTTTTAAAATAAAACATTTTTTGTACATACTTTGACAGTTGTATCTCAAACTGTAAATATTTCTCTTTTCTTGTCAAAAGTCCACTTAGTCTGATTCTATTACTTTAGAATCCAATTGACAAGACAAACTATTTTTTACTGCTCTTATCACAATAGTATCAGTGAATAATTCACTTACACTACCTTGTGGGTTACCACAGTTGTATCCTGAACTTTAAATAATTGTCTCCTTTTCATCAAAGTCCACACAGATGGGTTCAATTACTTTAGAAAACCCTTTGACAAGACAAATTATTTTCTTTATCTCTATTAAACTGTGAAACATCTCACACACTAGCTAACTTCATGTTTTCTGTTGCTAACTAATTTTCTGACTGAGCTGCACTTGACTTCACTTCTTGCACTCGCTTGGTTGCATATATTTATATGTTGATCACTGAAGCCTTGAACTTTCTGTAAGGTATGTGAACAGCACTGATTTAACAATACTCAGTTAAGGTAACAAGAAAAATACTGAAGATTCGAGTAATGTGATGTCAACAATATTAGTAAAGCCTAGACGACAATATAATTTCAAACACCACCTATGATTCGTACAGAGTTATATAACAAAATCTGTCACAACTAACACTTTTAAAACAATCCATCTTCAACACTTCTGTTTTAAAAACTACACAATCATTAAATATTAAGTCACAAAATAAACTAAATAATAACACTTACACTTACAACAGTTTTTATATCCAACAGAAAAGTAGTTTTATTATTAGCATGAAAATCACCTTTCACTAGACAGATTCATTAAAGTCCTTGTATTTTAACAGAAAAAGCTTTAATAGAAACACCTTGTTAAAGAATCGGCTTTTGATTATAAAACAGACTTGTAACGTTTACTAAAAGCTTGTCAAGTTTTGTTAAGATACACATATTAAATTCAGAGTGATAATATATTCTAATGGCATGCAGTCAGGAAATGCAAGTCAAGAACTGCATGACCAGACAGAAAACTAAGAATAACACTATACAATAAAATGTGTCATATTATAGTTTTTTTTTTTATTCATTTATTATGCTTACTTTTTTTGCAGCAGTATTCTCATCTCTTGCTATGTAACCTTTGCAGTCCTAATCTGGCACTTTCAAAAGTATTCCATGCACAAGTAATACAGCTTAGGTCATGCTGTGTTGAAATAGCATGATAGCTAGTATGCACACAGAAGTTAAACATCAGTGGCATTGATGTCACAGGCTTCATTGGTTGTGTGATTTCTTATTTAATTTTTTATTTTTGGTGTAGTGATATACACACCATCATAGCAACCATAGTATAGTTACAGGGTGCAGGAATGAAAGGGACCTATATAGTTTTCCCATTTATTCTTTCAGGATGGACTCAGTCCCTGGGACTGGCCTCATAACCATGTTGTGCTTGTTAAAGTTTTCATGCTATAACTTTTTAATTAGTAAGTGTATGTTCACGAAATTTAGCAGATTATCAGTAAACATTACAATGCATTCATAAACAAAATATCAAATTTTTTTATTAAGTCTTAAGGTTTGTAATGCAATGTTTTTCTTATGCCTTTTTTTTTGCATGTTGCCTGTCCAACATGCAAAGTAATTTTCATTTTAAGATTAAAAATACTTTTATGCATCAGAAAATTTTCAAATTTCACATGTGAAATCTTTATAATGTCCAGATAGTTATCAAATGTTTCTTAAGAAAATAATTTTGTATTTTATCTGTTATTTTCAGTAATGAATCTCTGTACAGGTTTCAGTAGATTTGATTGATCTTGTAACCAACATAAAAAATTAGGAAATAAGTATAAATTATGCCTCTTTCATTCTAGAATGACAACAAATTATGATACAAAAACATAAATATTTAGATTAAATAGCTTAAATCTCATAACATTATACATTTATATATAGTTATTATTTTTATTATATCGACCTTTCAGCCATGCGTGGCTAACAATACAAAAGTTACAATGATGCGGTGCAAGTGCACTCATGTTACCATATCCAATAATATAAAACTGACCTTTAGTCTTTACAAAGTGACCTGTCTTGGCTGCGTTTTAGTAGTCTAGTATTTTGTAAAATGCAATTACATTTCAATTATTATACATTATATATGTATATAGATTATTACTATTTAGCAGTAAGTTCTTAAACTTATTTTTCTTAAAACATAGAACAGTAAATAAAGAAGTAAAGCGAACAATTATCTCTTCTAGTTACGACCTTTGTACTTGGTTGCTACTTGACGTAGGTTGCTAAGCCTTTTAAAATTTCACACATGGAGGATATGAAACGAAATAATTTTTTTTAGGTTTATACATACACAGTTGGATAACCAAAAAAATCATAAATTACTATATCAATACCATAGAATTCCACTATAATTTATCAAGCCTAGTAACTAAGCTGTATTTCAGTAAAAAAAAAAAAATGAAATTTTGAGCAGACTCAAATCAACCTACCTTCTTGAAATTTTGGTTGAAAAGAAAGAAAAATGGTGTCCCACGACTTTAAAATGGCTAAGAAAGCGACTAGGGGGACATT